ATGTTCATGATTTGATGTTGTTTTTTATTACTGAGGTTCATCATAGTGTTTCTCAGACATATTTAAATAAAACAATTTGCATTCATAATGTGAATCTGTATTTGGTTCATTAGAATATTCATATATTTATGATACTGACATTATTAGTGATATAAAGAAGCACGCTGTAATGCTCTCGTTCGAGTGTAACCTATACATAATAGTTGGTTTTATGGTGCCATTTATTCTCATCACACCGATTGCCTTTATGTTTCTGTCCATTACATTTGACTTTATCTATCCTTCTTCTTCGTTCTCTCAAATGGTTGAGTATTTAAGCGTGTGGTTTATATGTAATCGATGCGATTTGTGATTTGAAGGGTTGAATAAAGTGTAATACCATCAGAACAGGCATTTCTTCTATCAAAAATCGTCACACACGGGTGGTTGGTAAGGGTGTGTGAAAGAAAAAGTGAAGATTTAAGTAGTTTTAATGTTCGTTTAATATTCAGTTGACGGTGAAATACTCGAAATGCTTGAAACTTGGATTTCTATTAGATTTCTGGTTACTTTCAAATGTTCATGATTTGATGTTGTTTTTTATTACTGAGGTTCATCATAGTGTTTCTCAGACATATTTAAATAAAACAATTTGCATTCATAATGTGAATCTGTATTTGGTTCATTAGAATATTCAAATATTTATGATATCGGGAGTATTAATGATATAAACGAGAAAGAGGTACGTTACAGGCTTTTTGGGAAAATGCATGAAAACATATTAATCATGTGGTCGACCAATAATTGCCCCGAAACTTGCAGAACGTATTTATGGTGGTTCAGAAGCAATACCACACTCATGGCCTTGAGTAGGGGTTTTTTTTTAATCAAACAAATAAATTTAAAAAAATTGAATCTTTCTTTTATAACAAACTTTTTCTCAAGAAGACAAACCATGTGCAAACAATAAAAAGTGTTAGGCAGTTTGTGATAGTACATTGCTAAATTCGTGTTATGTTCTGACGGCTGCACATTGCATTAACAATAAAACTAATCCTGGAGCGATAACTGTTGTTGCTGGTCTTCATAATAAAGAACTTGTTTCAGAGAGTGTGCGTCCAGGTTGGAATTCAGACAAATTGGAAAATGGACAACCTCATCATGTATTAAAACAAACTCCGGTTTAAGTGATCGGCAACTGAAAAGTATTAGCGACAAATTAATACTGAACAACAAATCTGTCTTGGGCATTGAACAAAAGGCTTTTCAGCATATAAAGGCGATAGTGGCGGTTCAGCTATGCAAAAACATGGCAGTCAATGAGTTATATAAGGTGTAGCTAGTTATGTCAGCGATTGTAAAAACAGAAAAAGATTTACCACCAAATATCTATGTTCGAGTATCCGCCTATTTGTCTTGGATCAAAAGTATAATTAATAATTGATATGCATAATTTTTTTTCTTTTCTCTTATAACAATAACATTCAATTTTATATTACCATAAACTTGTGTTCACTACAAGCTCTCAATAATCGAATTATCTAGCTATAACCACCATCGAGAAAGTGAATTTTTGCTTCATATTTTTATCTATAAGTCGTTATCTATGCAGAGCGAAGTCTAGAAGAATTATTAAAAGATAAGAGAAAATAGCAGCTAAAGTTGACACAAAGAAAATGTAAAGTGTTATCAGGCTGTAAAACAGAAAGAATGAATTATTTGCAAGAAAATAACAGGTAGGGCAAGTCGTAAGCATATCTTTTAACAACAACACGTGATTCGGTGTGAGGACATCAGTAGGAAGTTCGATATAAACTTCAGAATCATACATGTGATGGTCAGAACTTGTTACAGTGCTATGATGTATCGTCACAGAATAGAACATTGCACGGGCAATTCATCGTATAGACAAAATTTCGAAACGATTTTGGAGTATGAATTTGAAGTGTGACTAATAGTGCAGCCCATGGTATGTGTCTGTGAATATAGATGTAGATACAGAACAGCTTAACTTGAGGTGGAATTGGCAATAGGATAGTCAATATTCCGCAGAACTCCTTTTTAAAGGCTCTACATGAGTACCCACACCCTCAAGATCGAATTGAACAGTCGAATATTGTAAAAATTGATAATTGTAAAGAGAAAAAAATAGATTGGCGTTGTAGAAAATAATACTATAAAACATGTCTTTGTTTTACTTTTCAGATATTATTCGTTTTAATACTCGATAAAGAATCTTCTTTCTAATTAAACATGGCAACAGCAACAGGCGGAGGAGAAGAAGCAACAATACAACGCATATTACGCATTACTGACGTTGCACAGGAATCACTTGAAATTCTTGCACCCATAAGTGGTTATTCGAGAGTACCTCTTGTTTCGCTTGAAGAAGCAGTCAAACCACTTGTTCCTATTCTACCTGATGTTCAAAGTAATGCATACGTCGCTAAGTTAAAATGTAAGAAACCTGCCGATGAATTAACACAAGACGAATCTGCTTCGATTATGCTTTACACCATGACATGGGAGCCTCTCAAGGAATGTCTCTATATGGTCTTGAATGATATACTACGAACAAAGGATCGACAACAAAAACTCGCACCTTGGTATCTTTATTTGAGACTTTTTTTAAATGCATTGTTTCGTCTTCCGTTGATTCCCACAACCGCATACAGAGGTGTTAAATTAGACCTCAAAAATCGCTATATCGAAGGAGAAACAATTGTGTGGTGGGGTTTTTCATCGTGCACAACATCTATGGGTGTACTACAATCAGACCTATTCTTGGGTAAAAGTGGTACTAGAACCATGTTTACCTTACAATGTAAATCAGCAAGAGATATCCGTAAACATTCGTTTTTTCCAACGGAAGATGAAGTGCTTCTTATGGCCGCAACACAATTTAAAATAGTCAGTTCTCTTGATCAAGGTGATCTTCATATGATTCAATTGGAAGAAACTACGCCACCTTTTCCACTCCTACAACCAGTACCCATTGTTGGTTCATTACCAATGAATTCAAATCCACCCGGTGAGTTCGAAATTATAATAAGAGTACAATGCTTACTTAATAGAGACATGATCGAACACCGATAAATTATGCCTTTAGGGAAAGCCACAAATAGATGAAGTGCATTGAATTTATCGGAAAGGAGCACGGAAATGCTATTAATAAAAAATTATTGATAATTTTTCATTACAGGTGATCCTATTTTAACTGCTATCGTCAAAGTCGAAGAAAAACCAGAGACACATCTGCCCAAATCTCAAGTAAGCTCAACTATTTCCTAATGCCTTATTATTTTTATACTTATATCATTCCATTTATAGATCGATACACATGAAGTAGCTGCCGGTACCAACAATAATATAGGAATCAACTCCATTACAGACTCAGTAAGACTATAATTATTTAAGAAACAGCAGATATTCATCAAAGATCACATTCTTTTAGATGTCTGCCGTAAAAATCAGTGATGCAACAGAAAAAGGTAAAATATTTCTCTTTTATAGCCTTGGCAATGAGGACTATCTACATAAAACTACTTGCATTTTTTAAACTCTATAACATGACGTTTTACAATGAAAACATATGCACATATCGTGTTCGAATCCATAGATTGTAAGAAATTTTAGTTTCAAGAAAACTCTACAGTCCTATATTATTTTGACAAAATGAGTCCTTCAAGTAATAATAATCACTAGAAACTTGTAATATAATTCAACTTCAATTGTCCATAACTCGATAATAAATGGAATATTTGCTTTTATCCACTCTCGAAAGTAGAGTTGTGCAGTTTACATTTCTTCCCTCTCATCCTCTATGAGAATATTTTTTTAAATGTTTATTCAGAAAATAAATGATTCTATCTGGCAGGTGAAGGATGTCTCGGAGTAATTCGAAAATAACAAGTTTTGTTACCACATTGACATCAAAACTGTGAAGCGCATTACCTCGTGACGATTTCATGCTATGTGTGTTACGTAATCTTCATAGTTTCTTCATGTTTCTATTTATTATTTGGAGCAAAATAGATACTTTCAGCTTCAATATTCATTGTTTAAATCAGCAGAGAGGACGAAAATGGGAAATTATTTTTTCAAATTTTACGACTTATGCCTTGATTTTTTACTATATTCCTCGAAGTATAGAAAGTTAAGCAGACATATGCAAGATATATGCTTGTTAATTTATTTTATGCCATTGATACCCTACATGACAAAGCTCATCTTGAGTGCAGCCATATATGTTCATAGAAAATATAGACTCGCATGTCTCAAAAATACAAAGCAAAATATAGAACTATTTTCATGCAAAAAAAATCTCATTTTAAACGTAACAAGAGCATTAGAGAGAACTATATTGTTTCTACAGAATAATCTTCCAGTGTAGAAAAAAAAACTTATTTTGATGAATTTCTAGAAATAGAAAGAATGATCTATTTAAAGAATTTTACCTCGATACTTTCGAAATTATTTCATATATACTAGCTATACTCTAGAAAGATCTCATCTGATTCTTATATGTTTTCTCTTCTAGTTAATATTCCTGCTAATGCCACATGGGCACAGAACGGAGTGACTATTGCTGGAGGTCATAGGGAAGGGGATGCCACTAATGAACTCAACGGCCCTCGAGGTCTCTTCGTCGATGATGATCAAACAGTGGTTATTGCTGACTGGGGGAATCATCGTATCATGCAATGGAAGAACGGTGATACAACGAATGGACTAGTTGTTGCTGGTGGTAAAGCCCAAGGAAATAGATTACATCAATTGTATTGCCCAACTGATGTATTAATTGACAAAGAGACGGATAGTCTCATTATTTGTGATCAATGGAATCGACGAGTTGTACGATGGTCTCGTCGTAATGGTACAACACAAGGCGAAATACTCATTGGTAACATCCATTGTTGGGGATTAGCAATGGATGATCAGAGAAATCTCTACGTTTCTGATATCGGTAAACACGAAGTAAGGCGATATCAATTGGGTGAGAAGAATGACACTCTCGTAGCTGGTGGTAATGGTAAAGGTGATGGTCTCAGTCAGTTCAACTGGCCGACATATCTCTTTGTCGATCGAGATCATTCAGTGTACGTATCAGACGACGAGAATCATCGTGTAATGAAATGGGTGGAAGGTGCAAAAGAAGGTATTGTGGTCGCTGGAGGACAAGGCAGAGGGAGTGCTCTGACACAATTGTCTCATCCTACTGGGCTCTTCGTTGATACGTTGGGTACACTCTATGTAGCAGAGTCGCAGAATCATCGTGTAGTGCGTTGGACTCAAGGAGACAAGAAACAAGGTACTGTAATTGTGGGTGGAAATGGTCAAGCAGGAGGAGCAAATCAGCTCAACGGCCCCAGGGGTCTGTCTTTCGATCGACATGGTAATCTCTATGTTGTCAATCATTGGAGTAGTCGTGTTCAACGATTTTCTATCGAATAAGACTTGTGAATTGTTTTTTCATTGTTCGTTTCTTTGTCTATAATTTGAATTAAATGAACAAAAAAAAAGAAATTTTCTTTTACTCTTTCGTTTCAAAGAAAAGAAAAAGCTAAGATATAAAATTACGTCATATGTTTCTTTTCTTCTTCTCTTATTTATTTATTTGTTAAATGAAAAGAAATGAATTAAATAAAAATTATTTTTCGCAAAAAATATTAATTATTAAGGTGAAAAAAATAAATTGTGTCGCTTTGAAAATATTTATTATTTAAATGAAAAAATAAAATTTTGTATTATTTTCATAAAAATAGTTTTTAGTAAAATGAATTAATTTTGTTAGTGAATTGAAAAAAAAAATATTAGTAAAATTAATTTATTTTAGTAGTAAATTGAAAAATATTTAGTAGTAAAAAGAATTTATTTATTAGTGAAATGAAAATAAAATTTGAGTTATTTTGAAATTATTTATTGTTTAAAATCAAAATATTTATTACTCGAATGAAAAAATTAATTTTCTATTATTTAAATGAAAATGTTTATTCTCAATCCTGAAATGATGTCTTCACAACGGAAATTAGTCTGTTTGTCCGGTGTCTGATTGGTGGGTCAGGGAACCAATAGAAATCGAGTCTTCTGAAAAAGGGCTCCCAGTAGGTATTTTGGGGCGAGGAGTTCGAATACGAGGCCCATCGGCCTCGCAACCCTATTGGTGGGCCAGGGAACCAACAGAAATCGAGTTTCTCAGAAAATGGCTGCCCGTACATGATTCAGTATGGGGGGGGTTCGAGTGTGAGCCCCATTAGCACTGGTTTAGCCTTAAAACTTTCGTTTCTGTCTGAGTGACCAATTGATGAGAAGTTTAGAAAGAAAGCTCACTGAAAGATGTTAAGGAAAGCGAAGTTTGAAATTGACTTTCTTTCTAAATGGCTTGAAACGCTATTTTCAGAGTGTAGGTCTTTATACATAATGAATAAGGTTCCACGTATTATTTTTTCTTAAAAAGGTTTGGATCAAGAATACGATTGATTCTCGATTTTTTTGCCACGCATGAGATGCTTTCCTCAGATTTTTGTGGATATTGACTTGCGTTTTTGGTTTTATTCCGCTAATGAGATTCGTTTTTTCTTTGTAGCTTTTCTGAAAAATAGGGTCACCAACATTAAATTG